ACCGGTTCCAGGCAGGGCACTGCGGAGGCCCCAGCAGGCCCACGAAGCGCGCATGGATGCGCATGCGCCCCCGCCCGCCCGGATGCGCACGCGCAGGAGCCGCGACGCGCCGGTCCACAAAGGCTCAGGCCAGAAAACCCGGTACCACCAGTCCTGGCGCAGCGGCATCTCCTACCTGATGCCGCCCGGCCCCGGCTGCGAGTCAGGAAGAGGATAAAGCCGACTAGCAGAGCCGCCGCTACCAAGTACCACACGGGCCCCACCATGACGAGGCCCTCCGTGCAGAAGCACTGCGTCCGCCCTAAGGCCGGAATCTCCTAGGCCCCGCCTCCATTTCCCAGTCTAGACTCCGCCCACTATTCGGAGCCCCGCCCAGCCGCACTTCACAGAGAGGCTTTAATGTAAAACATTAAAATGAGTTTGGGGGGCGTAAAAAAACCCATAATGTTAAGAGGAAATTATTGCAGATGGTATGTCCAGTAGAAAACATCTATGTATTCTTTTTTTGAAACAGAGTCTCTGTGGCCCCGGCTGGAGTGCGGTGGCGCAATCTCGGCTCACTGCAACCTCCACCTCCCGGGTTCAAGCGATTCTCCTGCCTCAGCCTCAGTAGCTAGGACTACAGGCGCCCGCCACCACGCCGGGCTAATTTTTGTATTTTTAGTAGAGATGCGGTTTCACTATTTGGCCACACTGGTCTCGAACTCCTGACCTTTTGATCCGCCCACCTCGGCCTCCCAAAGTGCTGGGATTACAGGCGTGAGCCACCACGCCCGGACTCTGTATGTTTTAAAATCACTAAATTTTAGTGATTTAAAATCCCACATAGTGTTTATGGAAACAACCTTGGAAAAAGTATGAAGAGGCTTGGGACTGATGCACACCAACTTCAGGACAGCGATTGCCTCTAGGAGGAGGGAAGCGGATTGGGGTTAAGCCCTGAGCTTTAGCTATATCTGTGACATTGAATTTCTTTCCCTCCCTCCCTCCCTCCCTTCCTTCCTTCCTTCCTTCCTTCCTTCCTTCTGGAAGGGGAGGGGAGGGCAGTACTGGAATTTATGAAGCTTTTTGTATGCATAATAACAGAAGTAAAGATTTCAGGAGCCAGGCACAGAGGCTCGTCTGTTAACCCAATACTTTGGGAAGTCTAGGTTGGGGGATCCCTTGAGCCTAGGAGTTCAAGACCAGCCTGGGCAACATGATGAAACCCTGTCTCTACAAAACAAAATACAAAAATTAGCCAGGTGTGGTGGCATGCACCTGTAATTCCAGCTACTTGGGAGGATGAGGTGGGAAGATCACCTGAGCCCAGGGAGGTCGAGGCTGCAGTGAGCCATGATCATGCCACTGCACTCCAGCCTAGGTGATAGAGTGAGACCCTATCTCAGAAAAATAAAAAATAAAATAAATAAAAATAAAAATAAATTCAAGACCATTGAACAACAGTGAGAAAGGGGTTTGAAAAAATATGGGCCAGGCGAGGTGACTCTTGCCTGTAATTCTAGCACTTTGGGAAGCCGAGGCAGGCGGATCACTTCAGGTCAAGAGTTCAAAACCAGCCTATCCGACATGATGAAATCCCATCTTTACTAAAAATACAAACAATTAGCGGGGCATGGTGGCACACGCCTGTAATCTCAGCTACTTGGGAGGCTGAGGCAGGAGAATCACTTGAACCCAGGATGCGGAGGTTGCAATGAGCCAAGATTGCACCACTGCACTCCAGCCTTGGCAACAGAGCGAGACTCCGTCTCAAAAAAAAAAAAAAAAAAAGGAGAAACAGGTTCCTTATATGAGGATTTCCATCAAATGAATGTTTCTGCAGCTTCTGGAGTTCTGCTTAAAATGTGTTTCTCTAATTTGCCTTTTTTGGTTTTTGACTTGTACCACCTCTTGAGACACAGAAGCAGCTTCATCTGGCCTGGGATCTGAAGAGAAACTGCTTCTCGTCCTGAACGATCAATTCCTTGGCTTCAGAAAGTTAATTAGGCCGCGCGGGTGGCTCGTGCCTGTAATGCCAGCACTTTGGGAGGCTGAGGTGGGCGGATCACCTGAGGTTGGGAGTCTGAGGTCAGCCTGACCAACACGGAGAAACCCCGTCTCTATTAAAAATACAAAATTTTTTAGTAGACTGTGATGGTACATGCCTGTAATCTCAGCTACTTGGATGGCTGAGGCATGAGGATTGCTTGAACCTGGGAGGCAGAGGTTGCAGTGAGCCAAGATCGTGCCATTGCACTCCAGCCTGGGCAATGAGAGTGAAACTCTGTCTCAAAAAAAAAAAAAAAAAGATTATATAAGGCTGGCACAATGGCTCACGCATATAATCCCAGCACTTTGGGATGCTGAGGTGGGCAGATCACTTGAGGTCAGGAGTTCAAGACCAGCCTGGCCGACATAGTGAAACCCTGCCTCTACTAAAGATACAAAAATTGGCCGGGTGTGGTGGCTCACGCCTGTAATCCCAGCACTTTGGGAGGCCGAGGTGGGCGGATCGTGAGGTCAGTAGATCAAGACCATCCTGGCTAACACAGTGAAACCTTGTCTCTACTAAAAATGCAAAAAAATTAGCCGGGCGTGGTGGTGGGCGCCTGTAGTCCCAGCTACTCAGGAGGCTGAAGCAGGAGAATGGCGGGGACCCGGGACGCAGAGCTTGCAGTGAGCCGAGATTGCACCACTGCACTCCAGCCTGGACGACAGAACGAGACTCTGTCTCAAAGAAAAAAAAAAAGAAAAAGAAAAATACAAAAATTAACCGACCATGGTGGTGCATGCCTGTAGTCCCAGCTACTCAGGAGGCTGAGGTGGGAGGAGTGCTCGAACCTGATAGGCAGAGGTTGCAGTGAGCAGGGACCACGCCACTGTACTCCAGCCTGGGCAACAAGCAAGACTCCATCTCAAAAAAAAAAAAAAAAAAAGGAAAGAATGAAAAAGAAAGTTATCTATGGAATTGTAATTATGGCTGTCAGTTGTGATCTTTTTGTTTGTTGGTTTTTTGAGACAGGGTCTCACTTGCATCACGCAGGCTGGAGTACAGTGGCACACTTGGCTCATTGCAGCCTTGACTTCCCAGGCTCAGGTGATCCTCCCACCTCAGCCTCCTGAATAGCTATGACTACAGTTGTGTGCCCCCAAGCCTAGCTAATTTTTTGTATTTTTTGTAGAGACTGGGTTTCACCATGTTGTCTAGGCTGGTCTTGAACTCCTGGGATCAAATGATCCACTGTACCCAAGCTAGTTGTGATCTTACATTACAGAACACCTACGATGTACCAGGCACTGGGATTTACGAATGAGAGGTGAGGCTGGGCGCGGTGGCTTAAGCCTGTAATCTCAGCACTTTGGGAGGCTGAGGTGGCAGGGAGGAATCTCCTGAGGTCACGAGTTCGAGACCAGCCTGGTCAACATGGTGAAACCCCCACCTCTACTAAAAATACAAAAATTCACTGGGCGTAATGGTGCATGTCTCTAATCCCAGCTAGTGGGGAGGCTGAGGCAGGAGAATCCCTTGAACCCGGGAGTCAGAAGTTGAAGTGAGCCGAGATTGTGCCACTGCACTCAAGCCTGGGCGACAAGAGCGAGACTCCATCTCAAAACAACAACGACAACAAAAAACGCAGTGGCTCACACCTGTAATCCCAGCACTTAGGGAGGCCAAGGTGGGCAGATCACGAGGTCAGGAGTTCAAGACCAGCCTGGCCAACATGGTGAAACCCTGTCTCTACTAAAAATGCAGAAATTAGATGGGCGTCGTGGCAGGTGCTTGTAGTCCCAGCTACTTGGGAAGCTGAGGCAGGAGAATCGCTTCAACCTGGGAGACGGAGGTTGCAGTGAGCTGAGATCATGCCATAGAACTCCAGCCTGGGTGACAAGAACAAGACTCCGTCTCAAAAAAAAAAAAAAGAAAAAGAAAAAGAGAGGTGAGCAAAAACAGATGTGGTTTTTACCATTAGAATTTTTAGAAAACAGAATCACACAAATGAATATCTATTTGCAGTGGAGAGGTCAGTGCTATGCAAGCAGATGAAAGGGAGCTCAGGGAAGCTTTTCCTGAGCTGGGGCTTGAGCTGGCTAAGATCCAAGAAAGGTGTCCATGTAGGGTGGGCCGTTTTTCTTCTTTTCAGGCTCCTCAGGGTAACTGATGTCTTCCAGGCCCTCATCTGCCCCCAAATTCCCATGGCCACTCCTCTAGGTACTCTGCATAATGGTGTTTCTGCCTCAATAAAAGAAAACAGGTCACCACCCAAAGCAGTGGTTCCCATGCTTTTTTTTTTTTTTTCTTTTTCAGACGCAGTTTTGCTCTTGTTATCCAGGTTGGAATCCAATGGCACGATCTCTGCTCACTGCAACCCCTGTCTCCCGAGTTCAGGTGATGCTCCTGAATCCTGAATTCTCTGAACTGGGATTACAGGCATGCACCACCATGCCTGGCTAATTTTGTATTTTTAGTAGAGACAGGGTTTCTCCATGTTGGTCAGGCTGGTCTCAAACTCCTGACCTCGGGTGATCCACTCGCCTCAGTCTCCCAAAGTGCTGGGATTACAGGTGTGAGCCACTGGGCTTTCCCACACTTTGATGAGCATCATAATGGCCTGAGGAGCTTGGTAAGAATTCAGACTCCCTCCTTTTCTTGTCCATGGGCAGAAGTGGCCATTCAAGAGGTACTGACCCAGGGTTCCAGGCGGCGGGCAGAAGGCTGAGTCTCTGGAGGAGCGAGTCAGATGACTTGCCGCAAAGAGAGTATCAGCAGAGGTTCAGCAGACACACCTTTGAGAGGGCACTTCCTACTTTCAGTTGTGTTTGGAATGCAAAGGTCTGGCTGAAACGGTGGCCACGGAGAAGGGGTGATGGATTTGAGAGGCTGAAGGGATGAGGAAGTGAGGGAGTCTAGATACTGAGCTCTCAAGCCTAGGTGTGAAACCGGGTGAGAAGTTTGGGCTTGTTTTAGGCTATGCCGAGTTTAAGTTCACGGTCCGGTGGATCAGAGCTGGCGGGTAAGGCTGAAGGTGAAAGCAGGATGAGGGTTTGGAAGCCCTTGCCTAGAAGGAGGCAGTTTTTTGAGACAGCGTAGGACAGCGCAAACCTCCAGGATCACAGGGCTGCAGTCTTCTCCTTTCGGAGACCCCCTTGCAGAGAAGAGCGAAACCAGGGGCGGGGTGGGGGTGGTAGTGGTCTCTTCCGGTTCTTGAAGAGAGCGTCCCTTAGGCAGGAGGGACGGGTCTTGGAGCACTCAATCTCCAGGCTTGGGAGGCCCCCAGCAATTCGGACGCGGAGGGCTAGGCCGCCACCGCGAGCCCAGTCGCCCGATACGCGCCTTGGGGTCCGGGTCGGCTTTCCCCCGGACCCCTGGCCGGAAACTGAGCCGTTTACTTCCGCCACCAGCCGGAAGTTTTCTGTCACTGGACGCCAGGGAGTTTTCGGTGGCTCAGCTGGGTAACCGGGGCTCACCATGGCGGCCTCATTGGTGGGGAAGAAGATCGTGTTTGTCACGGGGAACGCCAAGAAGCTGGAGGAGGTGCCGGGAGAGTGTTGGGGGCTGACTGGGAGGCAGCTGGGAATACGGCGGAGAAGGGGCTTCCGGGTGGAGGGAAGCACGTGGGAGGAGGCATGGAGAGAGAAGAGAATTCAGCCCGGAAGGATGGGTCCTGACCCGGCTGTGTGGAAAGGCTGGGGCTCAAGAAGGGAGTGGCTGCGGAATCGGGGCGCCCCGGGGTTGGCGAAGGAACGAGGGTCTTGACAGATCCCGACACAGGGCTTGTGTGGTCAGCGACTGCGGGACCCGGAGGAGTAGCGGGGCCCTTAGCAACCGCCCCGAAGGTCACCTATTGAAGTAGACCCCAACCCAGTGTCCCAATACTCTTCTGGGACTTATCCACATCCCGCTGCTGGGCCAGGGCTAGCAAGGACCCACAGAGGGCGTGGGGCGGAGTTCCACACTAAGCAATCCGTGCCCCACCACCGTCCTAAAATGTTCTAACCTCTTTTCGCGTGTGTGAAGTGGGGATGATGCAGGACATTTGCTTCACAGCGCTACGGGGAGGAGGAGTAAAGGAGGCAGTGGATCTAAAGTTTCTGTTTGCAGGGACTTTGTGGCTAGCAAGTAACAGAGACACACAGGGAGTTCATGTAAGCCACCAGATGACTCCTGTGGGAATATAGTGTTACCGTGTCCTGCAGGACCTGAGGTTCCCTCAAGAAGCTGACTTGTCCTTGTTCTCTCTGGATGCTGATCCCTATTCCTGTTCATATATTTCCCCTTTCTTCCCTGCTGGGGGATGGAACAGTGAGACTTCTACCAGATATCAGCTCCGACTGGCTTTGCTTGAATCAAGTGTTTGCCCCTGTTCAATCAGCCATAGCCATGGAGTGGGGGTCTTGTGTGGGGGATCAGGATGACACCCACTGGATATGTCTGAGTCAGACCAGCGGGGTGTAATCACTAGGGAAACCTATATTTGCCTGTAGCGTAGGGAGGGACTGATGTCACTTTGGTGCCAGGACAAAGTGGCCTTGTCAGGAACCAGAGCCTTCTGCTGAAAAAAGGTTTGGGATCCTGAGGCCAGACCAGTCAGGCAGTGCCACTCTGAACAGAGCCCATGCAGGACAATGGGCATGAGACCCCAAACCTCTGACTGAGAATATTGCCCTCATTTAAAGAAGGAGCTGGAGCCTGGGTGCGGTGCCTCACGCTTGTAATCCCAGCACTTTGGGAGGCTGAGGCAGGCAAATCATCTGAGGTCAGGAGTTCAAGACCAGCCTGGCCAACATGGTGAAACTCCATCTCTACTAAAAATACAAAAATTAGCTGGGCATGGTGGCACATGTCTGTAGTCCCAGCTACTCAGGAGGCTGGGACAGGAGAATCGCTTGAAGCCCAGAAGCAGAGGTTACAGTGAGCTGAGATGACACCACTGTACTCCAGCCTGGGTGACAGAGTGATAGAGTGAGACTCCGTCTCAAAATAAAAAAAAAAGAAGAAGAAGAAGAAGAAGGCGGCGCTAGAGTAGCCAAGGGAGACTCCTTGGGGAACATGGACTTGAACTTGGCCTAAAACAGGTAGTCTTTTTTTTTTTTTGAGACAGAGTCTCACTTTGTCACCCAGGCTGGAGTGCAGTGGTGTGATCTCTGCTCGCTGCAACCTCCGCCTCTTGGGTTCAAGCGATTCTCCTGCCTCAGCCTCCCGAGTATCTGGGATTACAGGCATGCGTCACCACGCCTGGCTAATTTTTGTATTTTGAGTAGAAACGGGATTTTGCCATGTTGGCCAGACTGGTCTCAAACTCCTGACCTCAGGTGATCCACCCTCTATCCGCTTCTGCCTCCCAAAGTGCTGGGATTACAGGCGTGAACCACCTCGCCCAGCTGTGGTTTTTTTTTTTTAGACAAGTCTCACTCTGTCGCCCAGGCTGGAGTGTATCTCAGCTCACTGCAACCTCCGCCTCCCGGGTTCAAGCAATCTTCATGCCTCAGCCTTCCCAGTAGCTGGGACTACAGGTGTGTGCCACCACACTCAGCTAATTTTTGTATTTTTAGTAGAGACAGGGTTTCTCCATGTTGGTCAGGCTGGTTGGTCCTGGACTCCCGACCTCAGGTGATCTGCCCGCTTCCGCCTCCCGAAGTGTTAGATTACACGCATGAACCACTGCGCCTGGTCGAACAGGTAGTCTTAACTAGTGGTATGCCATTGGCAGACTGAGGAAACCTATAGAATCTTTCTCAGAAAAATAGTTTCAAATGTACAAAATAAAATACATGGTATTACAGGCTGGGCACTGTGGTTCATACCTATAATCCCAGCACTTTGGGAGACTGAGGCTCAAGGAGGATCTCTTGAGCCCAGGAGTTCAAGACCAGCCTGGGCAACAAAGTGAGACCCTAGCTCTACAAATAATTAGCCTAAGTGTGGTACCTGGGCCACCTGTGGTTCTAGGTACATGGGAGGCTGAGGCAGGAGGATCTCTTGGACCCAGGAGGTTGAGGCTCTAGTGAGCTGTGTTTGTGCCACTGTACTCCAGCCTGGGTGACAGAGAGAGAGAGAGATCCTCTCTCAAAAAAAAAAATAAATAAAATACATAGGATTACAAAGGAAATCAACTATAGTGAAGTACAATTATCAAAATGTTACAAATATTTGTGATTTAGTTATCTATACTTTCTTAATGCATTAAAGGATTTAATCTACCAATGTATGAGTAATTACCTTTTTTTTTTTTTTTTTTTTGAGACGGGGTCTCACTCTGTTGCCTAAGGCTGGAATGCAATGGTGCAATCTTGGCTCACTGTAGCCTCAATCTTCTGTGCTCAAGCAATCCTCCTGCCCCAGCCTCCTGAGTAGCTGGGACTTAAGGCGCATGCCACCATGCCCAGCTAATTTTTGTATTTTTTGTAAAGATGGGGTTTTGCCATGTTGTTCAAGCTAGTCTCAAACTTTTGGGCTCAAGCAATATGCCCACCTTGGCCTCTGAAAGTGCTGAGATTACAAGCGTGAGCCACAGCACCTAGCCCCTTAATTTTAAAATATCCAGATAAATGGTATTTTGAGATATCTGCAGCAGTTGTAATGAGTTATAACAACATCTGTGATTTTAGTAGGTTTAAAAGTCACTGGAACTGCTAGTAATATTTTGGTTTGTTACCTATATTCATAACGGAAAAAGATACTAAATTTCTTTTTTCAAGTTTTTTTTTTTTTTTTGAGACAGAGTCTCACTCTGTCGCCCAGGCTGGAGTGCAGTGGCGCGATCTCGGCTCACTGCAAGCTCCGCCTCCTGGATTCAAGCCATTCTCCTGTCTCAGCCTCCCGAGTAGCTGGTACTACAGGTGCCCGCGACCATGCCAGGCTAATTTTTTGTATTTTTAGTAGAGACGGGGTTTCACCATGTTAGCCAGGGTGGTCTCGATCTCCTGACCTCGTGATCCACCCGCCTCAGCCTCCCAAAGTGCTGGGATTACAGGTGTGAGCCACTGTGCCTGGCCAAAGATACTAAATTTCAATTAAGGTTACTAAGACTAAAGATATTTTTTTTCCAATCCATGTTCACAGGCCTCCTGAATTCTGGGTATCTTCTGATAGAGAATTTCTGGTTTAGGAGGGTGGCTAGGGTTTCTAGGAGCATTGAGAAAAGAAGAGGGTGTTCTGGATGGGGGCTTAGCACAAGCAGAGACCTGATGTAGGAGAGACAGAGAAGTAAGGAGATGGAAGGGGCTGCCTTGCTGGGGTGGGACCCTGAAAGCCGGGGTGAGGCTCACGGGCCTGAGTTGGTAAGCTTTAGGAGATTGGCAGGAGAGTTATCGATGAGAAAGGTGGATGACAGCTCACGTGCTCACATAGTAATGGGGAATCATTAGATGGTGATAAATCTTTTCTTTTCTTTTGAAACAGGTCATTCAGATTCTAGGAGATAAGTTTCCATGCACTTTGGTGGCACAGAAAATTGACCGTATGTCTCTGTTTTGTTTTATTTTTAAAAGATGGTTGGATTTTATCTGTCTTCCTGTGACCTGACTCTCTGTGTGTCTGTTTCCCTGATAAGTGCCGGAGTACCAGGGGGAGCCGGATGAGATTTCCATACAGAAATGTCAGGAGGCAGCTCGCCAGGTGCTTGCCCTGCCCTTGTCCCACACTTGCTCCTCTTGTCCAGGTAGCTTCCAGGGCCTGTGCCTGCTGGAAACAATAGAGTAAACAAGTTTGTTGAGCTTTCTAGGACCAGCCCAGAGCCCTCTAGGGTTCAGTTAATATTGACTTTGAAACACTGCCTTCCTTTGCCAGCCTTGAATACATGGTATCTCCCCCAGACCATTACTATACACTCCTACATACACACAGACTCTCCTTCCCCCAAATGCTCAGACACATGCATTCCAGCCCTACATCCTCCCCACACACATCCACCGCTGCATTCACACTTGTTTGTGGAACTCAGAAAGCATGCTGTGGAGAGTCAGGCTGAGTGCGAATCCCAGCTCTCCCATTGCTGTGCCTGGAGCAAGCTTTACAATCAGCCAAAGCTTTGGTGTCTTCATAAGATAAGAGATTGGCCAAAGGTAAGAGATTGGCCGAGGGCAGCTCCCAGGGCGCTGTCTGCCACAGATCTCAGCTAGCTGAGGGCTGGCCCCAGCCTGGGTGACCTCGGTGTTCCAGGAGGGGATGGTGATCGTGTGTCTCAGGGCTGCATGTCTTTGTGCTGCAGGTACAGGGGCCCGTGCTGGTTGAGGACACCTGTCTGTGCTACAACGCCCTTGGAGGGCTCCCCGGCCCCTACATGTGAGTGCCCACCTCCACCCCCTTACAGGGCCCCAGGCCCAAAACCACCAGAACTGCAAAATGATGAGGCACCTGATACTGCAGGTCATTCCCTGTCTTCACATCAACAGCCTTTCACGTTGTCCCGAGGAACGATGGGATAGGAGAAGCATGTCTTTCTTTTGTAAAGTGTGAGAATGCGACCTGTAAGTGGAGACGGTAAAGGGGACCCCACGCATTTGAGAAGTACGTTCATAGGTAGATTAATTTCAGGAAAGAGAAAACAAGGAAGTTGGAATCTAAAACTTGATTTCTTTCTTCCTTTTTTTTTTTTTTTTGGATACAGTCTCTGTTACCCAGGCGGCTGGAGTGCAGTGGCGTGATCATGGCTCACTGCAGTCTCCACCTCCCAGGCTCAGGTGATCTTTCCACCTCAGCTTCCTGAGTAGCTGGGACTACAGGTGTGCATCACCACACCCAGCTAATTTTTTGTACTTATTTATTTATTTATTTATTTATTTTTTGAGACGGAGTCTCGCTCTGTCGCCCAGGCTGGGGTGCAGTGGCCGGATCTCAGCTCACTGCAAGCTCCGCCTCCCGGGTTTACACCATTCTCCTGCCTCAGCCTCCCGAGTAGCTGGGACTACAGACACCCGCCACCACGCCTGGCTAATTTCTTTTTGTATTTTTAGTAGAGATGGGGTTTCACTATGTTAGCCAGGATGGTCTCAAACTCCTGACCTTGTGATCTGCCCTCCTCGGCCTCCCACAGTGCTGGGATTACAGGTGTGAGCCACTGTGCCTGGCCTGTATTTATTTACTTTTGGTGTGTTAGACAGCGTCTCAGTCTGTCGCTGAGGTAGGAGTTCAGTGGTGTGATCACAGCTCACTTGCTTGGCTCAAGCTATCCGCCTGCCTCAGCTTCCCAAGCGGCTGGGACTGCAGGCACGTGCCCAGCCAGTTTTTTTGCATTTTTTGTAGAGATGGGATTTCACTATGTTGTCCAAGCTTTTCTCAAACTCCTGAGCTCAGCCGGGCACGCTGGCTCACACTTGTAATACCAGCACTTTGGGAGGCCGAGGCGGGTGGATCACGAGGTCAGGAGATCGAGACCATCCTGTGAAGAAACCCTGGTCTCTTACTAAAAATACAAAATTGGGTGGGCGCGGGCTCAACGGCCTGTAAATCCCAGCACTTTGGTAGGCCCGAGGTGTGGGCGGATCATGAGGTCAGGAGGATCGGAGGGACCATCCTGGCAACATGTGTGAAACCCTGTCTC